ATGCCATGAAGGCATTTATAGATTGGCCTTTTGTGTCATACCTTCTTGCTCAAATGCAGGAGAGTTAGGACGATAATCTCCAAAATGCACTCTCCAACCCACAGCAAGAATCCTCTCTCGTCCCATTTTGTGATTTAGGACACAGGGCTTCTGGCACAGCAGCCTCTCTATGGTTTGGTGACCCTATCAGAAGACTCTACCTGGTTGACCAGAAAGTACTTGCTGTGCCTTTTATCCAAGGTGCACAACTCGGCTGTCAAGACACCACAGAAGTCTGCTCCCCTTTCCCTGAGCTCGCCTCTTATATACTTGAAAATAATCACCTGAGTCATCTTTCAGGATGAAACCTTCAAGTCCTTAATTGTTCCTCATGTGAAATATTTCAAATCCCTTCATGACCCTGGCCAATCTCCTTGGACACACACTCTCTGGTGTGCTAGGGCTCCAGATGTGTGAGCACCGAGCCAGCCGAGTGCATGTTCACCTCAGGGCACCCCGTAACCCTGATGATGCACATAAACAATTCAGAGCCCAAGGTGCTTCCAAATAAACTGCCATCAGCCTGCCCGCCCTCACTCTGCAACCATGCCCAGGCCTTCACGCAGCCCTGTTACCACTGCTCAATGTCATTGACTGTATTGTTAGTCTCTGTCCTTGCTTGTCAAGACCTCCTTGGCAGTCCTGGTTCTATACTCTGTATGCATGGCCCCTGGCCCTCTGGGCTCCCAGCCTGTAGACACCTGTGCATCTCCAACCTAACAGGCTTTGCAGTGGTTCAGTTGTCAGATCGGCAGACCCCAGCCGAGCCCCATGGCCAGGCTAACCCATTACTGAGTGCTCCCCGTTCCTTTTCAAATCAGCCGTACGCATACCAGCACATTGTAATCCAGCCCGAGACGTCTGTGTGGCTTTCCAGAGGACTCAGCATCCCTAGGCATCATGGCAGTAATGAGCAAGACATAAGGAACTTGTGTTCAACTCTGTCTGAGACCTTGCTGAACCAAGCAATGGGCCACACTGCCTGGGTCCGAATCCAGCTCTGCCATGTGCAAGTTCCTTAACTTCTCTGTGCCTCAGTCTCCTCGATGTAAGAGAGGACTCATGAGAGTGTCCACCTCACAGGTGGCTGTGGGAAGGAAGCAGGAGGACACTGGCAAAGCTCTTGGCTTGGGTGCTTCACGGAGTCGCTGCTCAGCAGGTGCCTACTCCCCCAGGCGGGCACAGACGCAGCCCTGTCCCCGGCGCACTGCCCTCTTCCTGCAGGAAGCTCAAGGCCACTCTGCGCCTCCCAGCTCATGGCAGGCTCAGCGCTCCTTCAACAGCGCCCGCGGGTGTTCCTCGCTGCTGCTCGCCGGGTGACCACGGCAGCCGCCCAACAGCTCCCTGTCCCTGCCCCCCAGCCATCAGTGAAGCAGCTCTAGGACTCCGACTTGCATCACATTTTGCTTACACCCTTTGGCACCCCCAGGTCTCCTCCCCACCAGCCCTCCTGGCATCCCCTGACATCTCCCTGAAGGTTCATCTATCCTGCCCTTCCCCACTGGACCGTGAGCACCCTAATGACAGGGTTGTAGTCATCTTGTTCTGAGGTGCTCGCAGCCTTGTGGCAGGGCGCCCGTGCGACTCTCTGCATGAATGAAAGAATGGGCGACATCAGCCTGCAGGACGGGTCTCGTGAAGCAGCCGGCTCTCAGTCCCTCACAGTGCTGGCTGCCTGAACTGCATCTTCCTTCCTTCTGTGTTGGAACCCATTCCTGTGTGTGCTACCTCCAGCCTCACTCTAACGAGATGGTATTACGGAATGTTCTAGAATGCCTTCAATCACTCCAGCCATAAAGCCCCCACCCACCCTTTCTGTACAGCTTCTTATCTAAATGTAGGGGCAGCTTAGCAAAGCTCTGACTGCTGTTCCCATTTTCCTGGAGACCCTGACAGGAGGGTGGGGTCAGGGCATTAGCCTCTGGGGCAGTGTCCCCTGCCGTACACACAGCCTCTCTGGGACACGGCACACAGGAGTAGCCCACTTGGCAAGAATGGCCCCATGCATCTCACTGCTTCACGGTGCAGAAGGCCCTAGGACATTTCTGCTGCGCAAATGAAGCATCAGGTCAGCAGACAAAAGAGACTCTGGAAGGACACAAGGGAGGACTGAGTCTCGTGTTGGCAGCAACATCCTCTGGATTTGGATTTCAGCAAACAGAGAGGGAATTCTAACGATTCCATACCTTACAGGCAAAAGCCTCTAAGCTGCTCCCTCCCAGGGAGACTGGATGTGTGCAGAGGCAGCCAGCTCCTGGTCCTGTGAGCCAGAGAGGGGCAGACACATGCTGTGCTATGCCCTGCCTGAGCCCTGCCTGCATCCTGCCTGCTCCCCCATGTCCCACCTGTGCCCCCTGTGCCCCTGCCTGCACCCCACCTGCATCCTGCCTGCACCTCTGCTTCCCCTCATATCCAGGCACTGGGTCTCAGAATAAGGGCCCAGGGCCAGTGTAGTCCTGGCCCTTGCTGGGCCCTCCTTGCCCACGTCACCCATCTCCAGCGGGCACTCGCTGCAGACCTGAGACTGCAGTGATGGGTGCAAGGTGAGGAGCGGTAGAGAACATAGCTTACTGGGAAGGACTGGAAGAGCTGGAAGGAGCCGAGGAGCCGGATGTACAGGTGGGAGTGCACCTTGGTGGAGGTGCCGTTGAAGGTGTTGGCCACCACCAGGAACGAGTAGGGCCCCACGGTGAAGAACTCCCAGTCATAGGCGCCAGAGGTGGCGATGGTCTGGTTGGCCTCGAAGAGGCGGGTCTGCGGGTTCCACTTGTAGATGACGCTGTCAATGTTGTGGTTGTCACCTGGAATCAAGGGGCAGTGCTGGGGCAGGGCCCTACCATGGCCCTGGCAGAACCAGAGCCCACCTGATAGCCTCACCCCACCCCGTTCAGTCCAGTGAAGGCACCGACGGCCACTCCGGACATGCCCTGCTCATCTGAGCTCCATCCACCCACCCTCCCTCTTGGCCCCTCGTGGGACCACCCCCTGCCTGTGGG